TCATAATTTTATACTAAATCTAAATGCCAAAACCTCAAAATAGAAATGGGTCTATTCTTACAAGCCACTTATTAAGATACTTATAGAAGCTCATGATATTATATTCTTGAGGTGCATCAGTGCATCAGTGTTGTTGCCTATGGGTTTATTACTCTCTCTCTTTTCATTTTTCTACTGTTATACAGATATTATTTCTTTTTTTAAATATACCACAATAAATTTACCCTACAACCTGTCAATGTGTATTTGTGTCCTTTCCAGGAATTTTTCTCAGCGCCAGCATACTGCAATGAACCCTGTTGTATATATCTTACATCACACATATGAGAATTTCTTTAGGTGCATGCCTCCTGACTCAAGAGTTTGAACCTTTAAGTTTATTAAAATTGTTTTTCAAAATAGTTTTACCAACTTACACTTATATCTGCAGTGTATACACATTATGGGTGCTCCAAAACCTCACCGATACTTGATTCAATTAAATCTCATGATGTTTTAGCTTGCATTTATTTATTTATTTACTTATTTATTTATTTATGTTTTAAATTGTGTTTGGGCATTTGCTGAGGGCGGGTGGAGGCAGATGCAAAGAGAGGGAAAATGAGAAATCACCTACCAGGAGTGATGGCCACGCCCCAATCCCCTTTTCTCCATTCTTTTCCTGGGATCGTGGGCAGCGCACACACTTGCCCTATGTGATTCTCAAGTAATCCCCTTTTCTCCATTCTCTTCCTGGGATCGTGGGCAGCACACACACTTGCCCTATGTGATTCTCAAGCCACTGGGTCCAGGGCTCAAACATCAGTCAGCCATGTGAGTGGGAGTCCAGCTATGTAACCAGTAGACCATCTTCTGGTCTCTTTATCTTGCGTTTCATATTACTAATGAGATTGAGCATCTTTTCATGGGTTTACTCACCATTTGTATTTCTTCTATGTAGTGTCTTTACTAGCTTTTTGTCCTGTTTCACTTAGTGTTTTGGCTTTTTTTAAAAAAAACAAACAAACAAAAACCTATATGTGAACCTATATATCGGCAGCAATTAATTAAAATGTTCTAGAAATAAAATGTCAAGGATTTCTTCATCCAGCATGTGGGTCTTCTCATGGTCTTTACGTGGCTTTTGATGAGCAGAAAATTTTAATATTAATGTAGTAGAATTTGTCAATTTTTTATTTTAAGGTTAGTGATTTTTATGTCTGGTTTAAGATTTCCTTTCTCTGAGCTCATAAAGATATTCTATTATATTGTCTCTTAAAAGTTTTACCTTTACTATTTTAGGAAACAGTAATAGATTTTGTTCAGTATGGTAGAAGCATAATTTCATTTTTTTTTTCTGGTTGACAACCAATCACTACAGCATCTTTAATTAAAAACTATCTTTTTCTCGCTGATCTGCAATGCCAGTTTTATGATAATGCCAATGTCTGTATGTGTCCATTATATACATATACTATTTTGATGCATGCCCATGCACACACAGCAGTGTAGGGGTTCTTTATTTTGCTTTATTGTTCCTTTTTTTAAACCTCTGTGCCAATACTGTAGTCTTAATTTCTATAGTTTAAAAACTTTTTGATAAAGAGCCTTTAGAAATTTTTTTTCTTTTTTCCAAAAATGTAATGGATGTACTTGGCCTCTTTTCTATCATATAAATTTTAGAATCGGGGAGTAGCAGATGGTCTAATGGTTACATCACTGAACTCCCACCTAGTCAAATTCCGTTCGAGTTCCTGACAGGACAGCTTAAAACTCACACTAAGTGCATGTGCATCATGCCCAAGATTCCGAGAGGAGAATGGAGGAGAAGGGATTGCAGCATGGCCATCCCCCCTGGGGAGTGATTTCTCGCTTTCTGTCTCTCTGACTCTCTCCATCTCTCCAGCAAGTGCACACACCCTAAAGCAAAAATCTCTCTAAAAAAAAATAAATAAATTCTAAAATCAACTTGTCAGACTTCACAAACACATGAAAAGAACATTTGGGGACTTTATTGCAATTGCATGGAGCAATTGAGGAGAATTGATATACTTATTATATCAGTCTTTCAATTTCTCTGGATTTATGTAAGATTACTGTAAAATCCTTTCAATAAGGTTTTTAAATTATATTATTTATTTAACTTTATTTACTCATTCGTTTCATTTGATCAGCGAGAGACAGAGAAAGAGATAGAGAAAGTGAGAAAGCAAGGCACCAGGTCAAGGATTTGAACCATGGTTGGCCATGTGGGAGTGCCCAGTGCCTTAACCACCACGCCACATGCTGGTCCCTCAATAAGGTTTTATTATTTTCTTCATTTAAAGCCTTTCAGATTTTCTGATAGATTTACCCCTAGGTACTTTGTATTTTATATTATATAAAGTATATAGTTAAGCTATATTTTAGACATATGTATTGCTATATAATCAATCAAATTTTATATATTGCCTTTGCATCCAATAAATTTAATAAATTACCTTATTAATTATAACAATCTATGGATGTTTGAGTTTTTTGTATGTGAACCTATATATCAGCAGCAATTAATGACAGTTTCATTTCTTTATTCTCATTTGTAAGATTGTTTTCCTGTCTTGCTGAATTTACTAGGAGATTACCTAGCACAATGTTATCTAGAAATAGTGTGACTGAATGTTCTTTTAAAGTCTCTGATCTTAAAAAAGATGTGTCCAATGTCTATTAGGTATGATGTTTACTATAGATTTTTTGTAGATGTCCTTTATTAAGTAAGGAAATTTTGTCTTTCCAATTGTTAAGGATTTAATCACATATGAATGTTGAATTAGAAAACTGTATGTTTGGTCTCCTTTTTAGTATGGGAGTTCTCCTCTCCTCTCTGATCCATAACAATGTGAAAGCTCAACTCAAGGTATAATTTCAACCAATGTCTTTAAGGAAAAAGCCAGTTCCAGTGTTTCAATTCCACTTAATTTCCTGTTTTCACTCAGACGTAGGATGTTCTTTGAATTCCTTACTTTTTTGTTTACTTTTTTCTTCTACTTTTTTTTTCTTCTCCTTGCTAGAGCGTTTGTGTACTTGCCAGAGAGACAGAGACGAAGTGAAGAAAGCACCCCCCCATGGGGAGTGGTTATGCCACCAACCTTTCTCCATCTCTCCCTCCTTTTGGGACTTTGAGCATGCATGTACACATACCTGGTATGTTTCTCAAGCTGCCTGGTTCAGAACCCAAATCACAATCAGCTGTGTGGAATTGGCTGCCTTAACCACCAACCCAAAGAACCAGGCCCTATATTGTATTTTTTTAAGAGATATATTTATGTTTCATGCAGGATTTTTGGTGTTTTCAGTGGTAGATGGATCAGTGAATGTAATCCACTGTACAAGAAACAAAACTCTTTCTTTTTGTCAAAATATTATCGTTCACTTCCATCAAAGCTTTTTGGTTGTTGTTTACTTCTTTCCTTCCTCCGTAAGTAAAAAAGAGAGAGAAGAAAGAGAAGAGAGAGGCACCTCCATCAGGATCTACATGCCACAATTCACACTAGCTTCACCCAGCCCCAGATTATGGGCATGTGTGAGCCTGGCAAGTTCAGGGAGATGACTAGACGTGAACCCAGAATCTTCCTATATGGGTCTGTCTTGCAGAGTATTGTGTTATGACTAAGCCTCTCTCCAACTTCCCAAAACTTTTCTTACATTTTACCTCCTTTCTATCATCTTTTGGCAATTTTAACTTTATTCAGCTGGTTGTTTATTTAACTTCCCAAATCTCCTTCAGCCAACTCCAGTTTCTTAACAGTTTTACACATTTATTGAAGACTGAGATTGGTCAATTGCGTGCATGCACTGTTTGTCATGTAGGCAAGCAGCTTCTTGCCTATCACAGTGACTTGGTCATATGTTCGACTCATGAAGGCAAAGGGTGTGCCCTTTTCTTCTTCTGACCGCTCCAGAATTCCATAACTACACCTTACAGTTATTCATTGCATTTTCTTCTTCCTTTAATAATCATGCTATGTTTTGTCATTATACCCTTCTACTTCATTTTCTATAAAGATGAAAAATACATCATGAGATATTTTTTTTTTTTTGGAGAGATTTTCACTGTAGGGCACGTGTGCTCGCCAGACAGACAGAGAGAGACATAGAGACAGAAAGCGAGAAATCACCCCCCAACGGGGATGGTCACGCCGCAATCCCTTCTCCTCCATTCTCCTCTCGGGATCTTGGGCACGCACGCACACGCGCCCGGCGTGAGTTTTAAGCCACCGGGTCCGGGACACAAACCGCGGTCGACTACGTGGGAGTCCAGCGACATAGCCATTACGCTAACTGCTGGTTCCCCATCATGAGATATTTAATAGTTTTTCTATGAACAAAGCTCTGCTCTATAAAAACTTTAAACACACTGAGAAGTTCTTTGCAAAAAAAAGATGAAAATTAAAGGGTATTATACCCCCCTTTTATTAGTAAGCATTCCTGATTCCCCTTACCTTGTTCAGCATTTTTTTAAATTAGTTATCACTTTCTAATCTGCTATGTAGTTTTTGCTTACACATTGTATTTGTTCCTTAATGTCTGTCTTCCTCCAGTAGAATACTAAGTTCCACAAGTTTTGTCCATGACATATCCCAAATGGTGCTGGCATAGAGTAGCAGCTCAATAAATATGTGTTGAATAATGAATGGCATTCAACATTTACATGAGCAAATAACAAAAAGGAAGGTAAAACTTCATGGTTTGCTTTTCCCAAATGGTTTAATATGTATTTTAAAATTTGCTGGTGGGTATGAGAAGGAAAGTAAGAAAGCTTCTGCCATGAAGGACAGTCGTGCCACAATCCTTTCTCCTCCATTTCTCCTTCCTTTCAGGATTTTGGTCACACATGCACACACACTCAGCACATTTTTCAAGACATTGGGTCCAGGATTCAAACTGTGCAATTGGCCATCTGGGATCCAGCTACTTTAACTACTACACCGCCATCCATCCCTAATATTTTCTTAATTGGTGCTATTTTATTTTTGTGCTTTCAGATATTAACATGGCAGGTGAACCCAAACCATACAGACCCAAACCTGGAAACAAGAGGCCCCTTTCTGCACTTTACAGGTAAGTAAACAGCCCTGATTACTATAAATAGTAGTAAAATTTCTTGCAACTTTAATTGACAATATAACCTTATGGCATCACCTATTTTGAATACCAATCCTTACCTACGCTATGAAGTACAACAAAATGTCGTTGGTCACCGTGTAAATATATATCCCTGCAGCATTGGCAGGGATGTTGAATGCCCAGCCTCCTCATATCTGCTTCTGCATTTCTTCTACAAGATATCTCTCTAATAAAAATCTATTGAAAATCTCTAATGAGTCTCAGTCAAAGGTTGGCGGAAAGGTCAATGTTGACTTTCTACTGCATATCATGCACTTTAATTGCTATACAAATTTTACAAAATCTTGCCATGCAGATACTCCTGTTCACATCTCAGAGGTCAAGAACCTGAGATGTATTTTCTTAATGTTTTTTTCACGGTCACACTCCTGGTGAATGATGCCACCAGTACTCAAACTTATGCTTCTGATGCCATCCCTGAAATCCTTCCCACTCAATCACTCAGCCTTTTTTATTAAGAGGTACCTGTTTCTTTCACCCCATTTCTCCAAAACATTATACAGTAGTTCTCTTTTCCAAAGAAACATGTTCAGTTCCTTTCATTTTTCCTAAAGCACTTGGGTTTAAATCAGTTTCACAGTCTGATCTTTTCTGTCTACCTACCTCAGGTTTATCAGGGTCCACATCTGTACTCAGAATTCTGGATGAATATAGTAGACTAGATTTAGCATCTTTGTTGTTCTCTATGTATTCTATAAGGTTAGGTTAAAAAAAATTAAAAATCGAACTTATTTATTTCTTCTAGAAAAGAGAGAGAGGGAGAGACAGAGAGTCAAGATCCCCAACAGGGTCCTCACACTATACTCTGCCCCATTCCAGCCAGCCAGGATCACAGGCAATAGCAAGTGCCTAGCATGCTCATTCAGGCCCTGGGTTGTGAACTCGGTACCCTTCCATGGGAGTCCATCTGTAACACTGCTTTGCCACCACCTGTCCCCAGGTTAACTAAAACTTGATCGATTTGGGGAAGAGTACAAGTGTAAACGAATAGAACTTTCAGTTCTTTAAAAACAGCCATTTTTGGGTAAAAATCATGTCCTGTTGCTAAACCATATGTCTTACTTCATGTACTATTGCCTCTTTTTATTTATTTATTTTTTTGTAATGTAAGTGCTGACTACACATTTATATCTGTTAAATCTGCTTTTGTTAGATGTCACCAATTGTTCCAGGCTACTGAGATCTCCTGGCATCCAGTTTTTTGGTCCTCTCCCTGATACGTATCATTGTTTCACCAGTCTCTACATCCAAAGAACTAATAGAAGTGTCGAACCAATGATATCCTCCTGATATCATTTGGATAAAAGAGAACTAAGTTATATATGTTACAATCAATTATGTACTGACATAGCTGAGTAAGGAGTTCCCAAAAGACTGCACAGAGTCATTTTCTTATCTTTGCTCTCTAAGAAAGAGCATGTCTCTTTTTCAGCCACTCTCAGCTTTTTTTCCCCCACTATAAAATAAGAGAGTCGGAACCAGATCATTTCTAAGTACTGTTCACACGCGATACCTCGGGACTCTACTGTATGCTACCAGAGGTTTCCAATGTATATTTTAAAATATATCTCAATTTCTCGTTATTAGAACTATTTGGGTTTATTTACTTCGAATAAAATTTGTATATAAAAGTTCAAAGTAACAGGACATAGAAATGATATCAGCTGGTCATAAGAAGCATTGACCCAGGGACAGTGAAGAAGTCATCAACAAAAAGCGAATGACGTTTTCTGCACCTTGAGGCATAGGACAATGTCTACAAAACAGAAATGCAATTATTTCTTTATTAGATCTATTTGTAAATGTATGCATAGAACTGCAGTTAATACAAAATAATTGAAAATTCATATTTACAGTTATTAAAAAAATAAGCTGGCAATGGCGCCTTTTTGTCTTATGAAAGGTTACCACTGTCTGTTTAATGATATTAATTTTCACAGTTTCTCTGATCTTGGATTGTTTGGATTTTCTTATGAGAATGGAATTTTATGACAAGAAACAAATGTCTTTTTTAACTGTCATTTCTTAATTACTAAATTATGTTGAATTGTAAATACGAAAGAATTAGAAGCAAAATTTCATTCAAATATGTTATATTGTACACAAATCACATTAGTGGGGAAATGCTTATTTATCCTAGTTTCATCTGTTTGCACAAATTAATGCTAGAACACACTGAAATTGCAAACAAGAACAAAGGGGATGAAAGAATATACTTGCAGCAGAAAAAAGCTGTTTTATATTTATTTTCTCATTCTTACGTAAGTTTGATAATACCTTACTCTTAGGTGGACAAACTATGTTTGCAAAGTCATTATTCATCTGTTCATCACAGAACTCCATGAGATGGGTATTATATTCCTTGCTTTATAAATGAGAAAACAGAGTTTCCAAGATGATAAAGGATTTGCTCTAAAGTACGATAACAAGATTAGAAGCTGATCTGCTTTTCAGCCTTCGAGTCTAGTGATCTTACCACCAGATCACAGCCTGCTATGTTTGCTCACCTGCTACCACCTAAAAAATACAGATTATAAAAACGAGCTTCCCTGATCGCCAAGATGAGTCATGAATCATGTTTCTGTCCATGGACAACATGCCCACAGATGGCAGAGGAAAGATCATACATTAAACACAACATAAAAACCACAGTTACCACCTATCTGTGTAATCATATGGCACAGGTTTTGAGCTTCAAGTGGTTTTTTAATCTAGCATAATTGTCTCATGAGAATATAATTACATTATTGAGGTGAAAGCACCTAGTTCAATGTAGAGAACATGGTATGAGCTTGGAAAGAGGTGGTTTCTGCTTTCCTCTTCTTTGCATCTTGGAGTCTGTTTCTTTGTCTACAACCAAAGACATTCCACTTGATATATTTATGTTAATTCTGCTACCGTCTAGGGACTGTGGTAGTTGCTTTTCTAGGCAATTGGCACCGAGAATGCCAACACACAGGGCAAAGAGAGCATGTTGAAATAACGATAATTGTTAATAATTTGTATATTTAGAGATATCATTTTTCAAGTTTGCTCTAAACTGCTGTGTCTCTATAACTCTGTGCTCTGTCAGGGCTTATAAATGATCTGACACCAGACTTTCTTCTTCACCTTTGTCCACTTTATCTCCATCATCAATCATAATGTAATATTCTCATGGCATAATTTTATTTTATTTCCTCTCTTAATAACAATTTCAGTTTAGTCACCCAACTTTCACTAAGGGCTTATCATGTGCTAAATTAACATGGTATACATTGGAGCTGCAATAATAAATACAACACAGGGAAACTTCTAAATCTGTCAGGGGTAGCAGGTGACATGACGGTTAAGGTGCTGGTCTCCAACATGACTGACCACGGTTTGAAAATCACACTGGGTCACATGTGCATGTATGCCCAAAATCCCAGCAGGAGAATGAAGAGTTTGCAACATGGCCATCGCCCTGGGTGTGTGTGTGGGGGGGAGGGGAGCGTAATTTCTCACTTTCCTTCTCACTGTCTCTCTCTGTCTCTCTCCTCTTTGTCAAGCACAGGTGCCCTATGGCAAAAATTTTTTTAAAAAAAATTACCATTCATAAATAAATTAGATGCACAAATAAATAAGGACAACTCAGGAGAATTGTGCTACATATATATATACTTCTATAAGAAAATAAATGAGAGCTTTACTGATTCTACCTAGAGTAAAGGAAAAGTCTGGGGAAATTATGGGAAAAAGATGACACTTGAGTTGGTTTATGAACAAGAAGATATTCACAGTAGACAAAAGGAAAGAAGTGAATTCTAGGCAAAGGAAAAAATGAATTCTAGGCAAAGAAAACGTGTGCGAGACAGAGGCACAGAGATGAAGAACATCTTCTGGTGGGAACTGAGATAGTCTACTTTTTGGAAAATAGGTATCTGGAACATTATGGAGATCCTGGTTATGAATAGCCTTATATTTTATATTAAAGAGATTTAGCTTTTATTCTGTAAGCAACAAGAGACCATTCGAGTATGATGACTGGTTGAGAATGGAGTGTGAAGGAGACCAAGAATCATAGATGTTTAAGGTTTCTAGTTTAAGCAACTGGAAGAATGATCATGATGGGATTGAAGACATGGGAAAGACATGATAAGCAACAGTAGGTTGAGGTGTAAGAGAGAAGGGAGAAGATAGAAATTGACTCTTGGACATGAATTCATACAGGGACAATTTTTTAAAATAGCACTTGCAATGAAAATGTCTCTCATTCCTCTGTTTGTAATTAAAACATAATCATTTGTGAACGTTTCAAAAATATTGGACCTGGTCCTAGTGGTCAATAGCTAATCTGTTCTTTGGGGAAAATATTGTAACTTTTAATAAATTGCTCCTTCAAGTGTGCTATGTACATTACACAAGGTTCGTGGTACTTTAAAATAATTCTCCCCTAGGAATTGAGTTTTTTAGCACGCCATGTTCCAATTAATGCTTAATAATTGCTAAATAAGAATAATATTGTGTGATGGTTTTGCTCCTGCTTATAAAGAAGACAAATTGTTTTTTTTTTTTTTTCCTCGCTGAAGTGGGTAAAGTCAACAAAGATACCAGAAAACAAAGACTATTTATCAGACCTAAACACATACAGGTTTTATTCACCTAGGACAGCCCTCTCAGTTGCAGGGAACAGCTCAGCAAGACATGGAATACATAAAAATGTCATCCTATTGATTTCACAGAGATTATTGGGTACAATTCCCACTTTTATTTTTTCGGAGAGGTTTTCACTATACGGCACATGCACTCACCAGAAAGACAGAGAGAGACAAAGACAAAAAGCGAAAAATCACCCCCGGGGGATAGCCATGCCGCAATCCCTTCTCTTCCATTCTCCTCTCGGGATCTTGGGCATGCGCACACATGTGCCTGGTGTGAGTTTAAGCCACCGGGTCCAGGACTCAAACCACGGT